AGCACTGCAGATCTCTTATATCCAGCAAGCAACCATGAACAGAGTTAAAAAAATGCATTTGTTTTTCCCTTACTTGCTCCTGTAAGGCTTAAGAATCACAGTATACTAAAAAAATAGCTGCCATACTTTACCTAAGGTAAAAAGAAATGTGTCCAACAACTTAGTCATACTACTAGATTTTTTAAAATAAAGAAACCTGAACAAAATGTTTCTTCCCTAATATATATGATTCCCTAATATCATATATCATATTCTTTCAACATCACATTTCAAAACCAGATTTTCTGTGTAGCATAGAAAGATAACTTCTATTCAAAACAATAAGCTTGTACTTTTTTTTTTTGAAAGGGATCAATCTAACTCACGGATGTCAAACTCGCGGCGCCACATTGCCGTCACATGACATATCGTGACATGTTTTCCCTTCATGGAGCTAGGGTGGGCGTTGCCTGCGTGTGATGCATCCAGCCCATGGGCTGCCATTTTGACACCCCTGATTTAACTGCTTACTCCTTTAGATATGGCCTAATAAATATTCTACCATACCTCTTTCTATTGTATTTTATATTAAAGGGTAGATAGTAGATAGGTAGATAGATGATAGATAGAGATTAGATAGATAGATAGATAGATAGATAGATAGATAGATAGATAGATAGAAAGATTTTTTTTGTTCAAATCAGTACAAATATAATTTAATTTTTAAAAACAACTATTCTTTCCAACTGAGAAATAATCACAATAGCCAATTATTTCTTTTCTTTTTCATATGGAAATACAAATATTATATTAAATAAATATTTTATAATTCTAAGTATCTTACCCCAAAGTAGGATCCACAGCAACTGCCATGGGATTATGAAGATCAAGATCAATCAGGGTAACACACACAGTTCCATTAAAGTTGCATACAAAGATTGTGTCACTGGTATGATCCACAAAGTAGAAGTTGCCTGTAAGCCAGTCAACTGCCATATGCCGTATATCTGTCATAGTGAAAGGAATATTAACTTAGTTATTACTTCAACATAACAAATAATTGAAATAATACTAGCTGAATAGAACTATACATCTGAAAGAGTTGGTGCTATTAATTATATGGGAATTACACAATATGCATAATAAACTAAGTAAAATTTAGTCAAACTGAAACAATTTTTTTTTTAAATGTTATTAAGTTCTGCACAATGTTTGGTGCTCTCTGAGCTTGGTAGTTTGTTTGCTGATCTTTCATTACCCAACCACATGTTTATATGTAGTAATATATGTAAATATGTACTATATGTAGTAGCTTGCCCTGCCAGTTTTGATGGCATGTGGTTTTTTTGTCTTTCAGTTCATTTCTTGGAAGTTGGGGGAAATTCAGATTAAAATATCCTATTGTAATAGAGGTAATAATATTACACTTTAAAAGGTGCAATATTTCATAGTAATAGTATTAGTAATTACGACTTTTCCATCACATATTTTCACAAAGGAAGAACTATGCGAGTCTGATCATAAGAGTGAATTATGCTGTTAAGTGATAAGAATCACAAACACCTGTAATAAATTCATAGATACTATGCTTGCATAATTTTTAAAAAAATATTTTGGTAAAATTATACTTTTCAATATATAAAAAAAGCCCTGCAATTCTAGTCTTAAGGTATAGTAAAAAGAAAAAAGATTATATTTTTTTCTCATAAAATTCAGCTATTGCTGCTTATCATTAAGAGTTTACATTTAAACAAGGATTATTTTGTTATGTAGGAGACATAGACCAACAAAGACACATGAAATGGTTTACTTCAACATGTCAGCTAAAAAATAGAAGCAAGTAATGGAAAAGAAAAGCTTCACAAATCCTTGAAGAATTACAATTATGAATAGTCAATGCAGAACATTATGGAATGACAGCATAAGAAAGGTTTCTGGCCAGAAACAAGATCTTCACACAACATGCAGTTAAACTACGGATTTTACTGCATGAAGAGTTAAAAGAAAAACTTGAAGGAAAACTCATTAATTGACTACCAATAATTCCATAAATGCATTACATTGATAGATACAGGAAACATCTACTTAGGCAAAAGATAAACTGAATTACCTTTCACTCAGAAAAAGAGACATACTGTAAAATAAGTCAATCTTACAACATGATTGGGAATCTACTTAGATGTTTCCTTTTCTTGATCCATTTTATTCTGCTGTTTTCTTTATTATTTCTTTATTAAATTTATATGTCACTCATCTCACCATTGGGCCACTCTAGGCAACTTATAACAAACTAAAAACAATATAAAAACTGAGATATTAAAATAATAGATATTAACATTAAAATTTAAAAGATGGCTAAGGAAGGAAGCAAAATACAAATGGGGTGGATTTAGAATCTCAATCTCAATCTCTCATTCTACTAATTCCTAGCGTATAGAAAGAATCAGCCTAGAAATAAGGAGAAATTTCAGTGGGAACAATCAATCGGTGGAACAACTTGCCTCCAGACATTGTGGATGCCTCAACACTGGTTTTTAAGAAGAGATTGGACAACCACTTGAGCAGGGGGTTGGACTAGAAGACCTCCAAGGTCCCTTCCAACTATGTTATTCTGTATTTAATAGTCCTAGCAAATATAGCCTATGTAAGCCATTTTTCAACTATTTGCCCTTAATTGTATATAGGAATTAACTACATTGATGTATTGTACATAACATGCAACATGCAATTTAAAATTACTCTACTTTGAGAAAAGAAGTTAAAATGCAGGAAGATTTACAAACTAAGCACATGTTGAAGTACCTGTCAAATCCAAACATGAAGGTTCTAATTTATGGATTTATTGCTAAAACCTATGCACAGGAATCTTCTCAGGCTAATGGATTCTACCTAGACAGAACTAGATAAAGGCCAATGGCATTCAAGGGACTTTGTTCTTTTGTGACTATGTAACAATACTAAACTGATGCCTCATTTAAATCTTCCCTTGGCTCTGCCAGTCTCTCTCATACAGTACCAAAAAAGTGAAAAAATTAGTAAACAATAATTATTGCAAATTGAATCATAACCATATCTGGGTTGCAAAAATCTAAACAACTACTATATAATAGCAAAGAGATTCCAGAAATTTTACCATATTATTGCCATTTGGAATCCAAGATGTAATTTCCCTAATTGTGCCAAATAGTCAACCAACATTATTATTTTTTTTTTTCATATTGCTTTGATGAACAAACAAACAAATACATAAGAAGCTGTAGCTCTACTCTAAGGATGACCATTGATAATGGCCCTTTGTAATATGCCTGATATGGTATATTATTCACAGCTTTCAATCTTTTCATAAACTTTCATCCTGCTCCCACCTTCTTCCTTTTAATTCAGAATCAGTATTTTGACCTTTGCCTGATTGATTGATTGATTGATGATTGATATGACTGTCCATATCAGCAACTGATCATGGGCAGCATACAAAAGCTGAAACCTAAATATCATGAAATAATAAACCATTAAATAACCAACGTCTAGGATCCAGGAAAAACACCAGGCAACAACACATCAACAACCATTTAATCAGCATAGATGCTTAATGTCCCAGACCAAATGCTTGGAGGAACAGCCTGGGGAATAGCCAGGTTTTAAGTGCCTTACAAAAAGCTAATGTGATGGGGCCCTCTGATCCCAGAGGAATATTTTAACCCTAGGTAAGTACATATAACATATAGATTATAATAAAATATATTTAATGGTAATTTATCTCCCTATTACAACCAACATTTTTAAGCCTCCTTTCTATCTTAGAAATTTCTGTAAGATTAAGCAAATGGGGGGGCAGGATATCTGTCACACAAGAGAAATATGTGCAGGGATGAAGACAGTCAACTAACAAAGTTCTAGAACAGGATTCAGCCTACAAGCCAAACCTGGTTCACTTTCTGTGTTTATATGGCCCTCTTCAGCTGAGCTCCTAGGACCGTGATGGTGAACCTATGGCACACGTGCAGAGTCATCTCTCCGGACATGCCAGCCATCGCCCATTGCTCTATGTGCGCACCGGCCAGCTGGTTTTTGTGCACGTGGGAGTGCCAGAAACTGGAAGAGCAGCTCCCTGCCGCGCATGCGCATGCTGGGAAGCTGAGCTTCCGGTTTCCAGTATGAGCATGCATTCTGGCCAGCTGGTCTTTGTGTGCGCATGTGCACCCAAAGCTGAGAAACCAGGTGACCGGTGTGAATGCACACACCAAAAACTGGAAGCTCAACTTCCTGGCACATGCATGTGCGCCAGGAAACTGCTCTTCCAGTTTCTGGCGCTCCCCCATGTGCACACGCTCCTGTTTTGGCACTGAGTGCCAAAAAGGTTCACCAAAACTGTCCTAGGATGAGGGGCAGGGCTGAGGGGCAGGAGCAGGGAATCCTGGATAGCAGCAACCTACCAATATCCTCTTTGCTAGTGGATGGGCACTGGCAAATGGCTGCCATGCTCCTTGGACTGCAAAACTGCCAGCCATGCCTCTAGAAGCAGAAGTCAGACAGGATCTGGCTGTTGAGAAAAAATCCTGTTCGAGATAGTGCCAAAGAGTTATTCCAGCCAGCTGTGAATCCAAAGGTAGTAAGCATTATAAGAAAGGTTAATTTAGAAGAGTGGTTGTGGCCCTAGTAGAGCTTGAAATACCTAGGGGAATAGTTCAGGCACTGAGTCCAACCATGCTACTTTATAAAAATCCTAACCTCTGTCTCCTTCCCAGATTCAGCTAATGCTCATCATCGTTTTGACTCCCGAGAGACGATTTCTACCAAAAACTCCATCCTGAGATCTGTGCTTTCCTAGTGTTCAGCATATGGTTACACCTCTCGATGGTGATGGCATTGCTTATACCTCAGAGGCTGAGCATCAGAGATTGGAGCCAAAGAATTCAGAGGGATCATGGAGACAGGTTCTGTTTCAGCCTCTGTTCTGTGACCTCAGCTCTATGTCACAATAGGCAAATCCTGTTCTGAGGGAGAACCCAGAGCAGTTATGACAGAGTGGGAAAGGATACAATGACCAAGAACCAGTTTGGCCTAATGGTTAAAACCTCAAGCTAGAAATCGGGAAACAGTGAGTTCTAGTCCCAGCTTAGTCAAGAAAGCCAACTGGATGCTTTTGGGCCAATCATTCTCTCTCAGCCCAACCCATTTCACAGGGTTGTTGTTGTTGTAGGGAAAACAGGAGAAGGAAGGAGTATTAGATATGTTTGCCACCTTGAGTTATTTGTAAAAATAATAGGTGGGATATACAATAAATCAAATGAGATAAAAAAATAAACAAACACCAGATACATATTCCAATAGATCATGCTAAATTTGAAGTTATCACTATTAAATAGAAGTGAGTAACTGCTGCTTATAAGAAGCTGGTTTCTTTAAGTATGTATAATATGTTATGAAGAAATTACATATTCTATGTTAACAGTGACTGGGAGATGAATAGGAGAGGCAAGGCAGAAATTTTCTTTTATAACCAAATAGTAATTCTGAGGGTAAAGCACTTTTCCCCATTGAAGGTCAGTTGGATTCTGCTCTTACTACATATTTCTGTTTATGTCCTCATTGTTGCATCTGTTGTGTGCTGATACACTGAAGAAGAGGGATAAGGAGGGGGGAGGAAATGGAGGTAGTTGGAGTGTTGTAGTCAAAACAAAATACTTTCTCTTGGGAAGCAAGGACATTCCTGCAGGTGCTTGGAAGGAGGGGACTGGAGTCACTTAGCAACTGGACAGTATCCTGATTGGACCATGTGAATGATTGTTTTGAGAAAGTGACAAATGTTTACTTTTAATTAGGTGAAAACCGCGGGAAGAATCAAAGTTGGTTTTCACAAGCCTGCGCCAAAGACATATTCAAAAAACCTGTTCTTTGAGGAATTTGCCTGCCTCAGAGTTTTGTTTGCAATGGGTATGTTACTTGGAACTCTGACACACACGTGACTAAGAAGCATAAGATGGGTAGCAAAAGTTCTCCTCTTGCTCATATAAATAAGGGGAGTGGCTTACACCAGAATAATCATCTACCTCCTGAGATGTAATCCAAGTGCTTCTTCTATAGAAATAATTTTTGCACCATTTACTGGATTGGGATCATTTTCAAAATCGTATTTTCTTTTGTCATTCTTTATTCCCTTTTACCAAATTTGGTCTTGATCTATTTTTGCAGTGTTATCCTGATGCCGGGCAGACATATATACAGATAGTCAAAAGTCCCTTTATGTAATTTATTTCCAATCTTCCATTGCATTGGAAGAAATAAAAAGGAGAACTAATATGACTTACAAAATAGTTCATTGAATAATATATTATATGGTTATATATTTGCGGCATTTTAGCACTACATTAATTCAGTACTCTTTAATTAATGTAATAAAGTTCTGATAAATTACCAAATTTTCCCTTTCCCTAAAAACCATATTTTATACTTTCCTAAGTATAATTATCAACCATAACAACAACCCTACTTAACTAGTAGATGCATTTTTAATGAATAAGGCATTTAATTTCTGTACTATTTTTGCTGAACAAATAAACAGAATTTCTTTGAATTTTATAACCAAATTATTGCTCAGCAAGTTGATTATAATACTAATGCTTCCTTTTAAATTCCCCCTGTTTTGGCTCCCTGGTAATTCAACTACATCTCCGAACCAACTACTAAAAACCCTACGTTGCATTTTAGACCCTATGTGGCAATATCTAATTTAGAGGCAAATTATGTACAGACTAATTAGCCTGTATCTTAAAATGTTATTAAGAACATTTTAACACTGCTTTTGTTGTCCCTGGCTGAAATATCAAATTGTATTTCCTAACACGTAAATTAAATCCACTTAAACTTGCAGAGCCTTATTCAACACTGTTTAGATGTGATATTCATTTTGCCCATTAAATGCTGGAAATTGCCTAGGAATTACAAATAATACAGATTAACAACCGGTGTCCTAATCAGCTGTTGTCCCTTGCACTTTATTTTGCTGGGTGTCCGAGTCGGTTTAATGTCAGGGTTCCAAGTAACATACCCACAACAAACAAAACTCTGAGGCAGGTAGATTCCTCAAAGAATAGTTTTATTTGATATGTCCTATTGACACAGGCTAGTGAAAATCGATTCTGAAGGTTCCCGCGGTTTTCACCTAATTATTGCTTAACGCACTGTAAGCCGCCCTGAGTCTCCAGAGAAGGGCGGCATATAAATCAAATTTAAAAAAAAAAGTAAAAGTTTTCCCCCTCCCCAAACAATCAATCACATGGTCCAATCAAGGCACTGCCTGGTTGCCTGGCAACATTACTACTCCTTCCTCTGACCAGGTATGAGAACGTCCTTGGTTCCCAAGAGAAAGTATTTTATTTTGGCTACAAAACCCCAGCTATCTCTAATCCCCCCTCCCTATCCCTCAGCTCCAGTGTGGCAACACAGAAGCTCCAAGATGGCTTTGGTCAGGTCAGCTTCAGAGTTGACATCGGGTTTATAAGCTGCTCCACTCAGAACAAACTTTAACATTATCTAAACTTTTTTTCCCTCAGAGCTTAAATCTCAGTTCAGAAATAGACATATTTGGAGGGTATTCAAAATTGTGGTATTTTAAGATGTAACAAACAATTAAAATATGAATTTTAATAACTACACCTGTTTTCAGCCATTAATTAAAACAACTATAGCTGTAATTATTACATTTTAATGAAAATTGACTTTTTGATTGATTGGAAGCAGGAGGCACAAAGATACCTCATCTTGGCTATTGGCAGATATGATTCTCTGTCATAATAGATCATCAGTTATTTTCCAGATCACAACACTTAATTTGATGCAAGAGACTTTTATCTCCTGAGATTTGACACAGGGACACATTTTGCTCCTTAACTTCCATCCCTCAATAGAAAAAAAAATAGGATATAAAAGAGAGTTTAGGTATTTTAAACTTCTACACGAGCTAAGACTCCATTTTAAATTAACTGCTCTAATCAAAGAAAATAATACATCCAACTTTGTTTCTACTTGGAAAGCATTACTGGACTTTGTTCTTTAGAAAAATAAGAGAAAACTTTGGGTTATGCTGATTAGATGAGTTTGTTGTTGTAGAATTGGCTATTACATGATAAGTATGTAAAAATAAAAAGTTGAGGCTGTGCTATTTTATTCTACTGGGTTAAAAAGAATCAAAAGGCAATGCTTTTCTTTCTTTTTTACCCTTTACCCATTTTCCCACTTTTCATTTCTATTTTATATTTTGATAAGCTGTATAAAAATAATTTAAAAATGAAAAAAGACCTAAGACCATTTTACCTTTACAAACAAACACACACAAGCACACACACACAAGGAGGGAGGGGGGGAGGGAGGGAGAGGGGAGGGACCCTGTTTTAGAAGGCTGCATTTTTTAAGCTGGAAGGTTGGACTAACATTTTACTTTCTCTTTTGATTCCAACTTCCTCATGGACCCCTAAGAATTATTCTCCGGTATCAGATGAGCTGATGAACTATAGAAAACTAAGACCAAAATTTACCTCTCTTCCATTATAACCTATTTTACAAGTCTGCATGTCTTTTTGTATGCATAACAATGGAGCAGTAAATGAAAAGGCAAATGAAAAGAGTAAGTTTAGGCCAGGATAACATCTACTTTCCCTTTCGTTCTACTTTCCAATTAGTAACAACACTGTGAATAAAATGTCAACTAATAGTAGAAAGAAAAGGAATCTCAGACACTTTTCCCTATACATGCTTGGTCCCCACATATCTCCTTATTTTCATGAAGTAACCATCCATCCATCCAACCAACCAGTCAACCAAGGCCTTCATAGCATTTCAAAATGTTCTTAAAAGCCTCTGTGGAAACAAATCCACATGCCTCTGGATTGAGGTTAACTTTGAGATTCAGGATTCCCACCCTACTGGGATTTTTAAAGGCTTTAAAAGACTTGGTTCTTTGCCCAGGGCTTTGGAGAGGATGGTTGATGCCCTTTTCTCATCTTCTCTCTTCCCACGGTTTGTTTGTTTGCTTTCAATCATTGTTCTTTTGTGCTATTTTTGAATTGTTCTTTGTTTTAAATGCTTTGACAATTGTAAACTGCCCAGAGGTCCCAGGAATTAAATTACTATTGATCACACACTCAGCCAGATGTTTAGGATGGATTTGGCATTTTTGTCCACCTATCAAGTCTTTCCCAAGTATCTGGGATAGCTAGATGTTGTTTGATTCATTATTATCGTTAGTTGCTCAGTTAGCTAAATGATTTAGACTGGGGGTGTCAAATTCACGGTGTCAGGTCGTCACATGACATATTGTGACTTTTCCCCCTTTGCTAAAATGAGGGTGGGTGTGGCCAGCACATGATGCCTCTGGCCTGCAGGCCACAAGTTTGACACCCCTGGTTTAGACTGTTTAGATATTTATTATTATTACTATATACACAAAAATGTAAAATCACAGCTGCAGTCAAATAAAGCATTCAGTTTCTTTCTTTTTTTAAAAAAATGTTTTGGCTGTAAGCCATTGCCAGGTTTTATCTTTATCCACTTTTCTCTCGATACTTTGTACAAAAATGGCCATATAATGATTTTCCTTGCCAACATTTTTTTTGTCTTTCTATTACATTACTGTCTTTTACATCAGGCAATTTCTTCTTCAACAGTTTGTTTGACTTGTAATAAACTCCATTTCTGCACGGCAGGTGTAATCAATCAATATCACTATGGGAATATAATGCATACTGAACAATCATCCATTTTCTTGCTTTTATATTGTTTTTCAACCTGTTCTGCTTATATCCAGTTAAGAACTCCATTTCATATCACAGGTATGGTCCAGGTATTGATGGCTTTGATGGTGTTTCCACTGTTCAATTTTGTTTTCAGAGAGTTTCTCATTATTTAGATGTATTCTTTACTCCAGGGGTGAAATCTAAATTTTTTTGCTACCGGTTCTGTGGGCGTGGCTTAATTAGTGGGCGTGGCTTGGTGGTAAGGTGACTGGGAGGGTGTGGCTTGTTGATCAGGTGGGCGTGACCAAGTCAATGTCACTTCTTTGCCCTTTTTTAACCTACAAAACGCAACACAACACAACTGGCTCACCCACAATATAAAAGCAGCTGTGCTAGACCCAAAATGGCCCCTGCAACAAGCAGGACCTCACAGAGCCACAAAAAGCCCAAAAAAACAACTTTCACACTTTACATGTTACAAAGTTCAACATACAGCTTTGTGAGATTTTGTGTGTTTGTGTAGTTAGAGTGAAACACTACAGAAACACACTAAATCTCAGAAAGCTGCACAAATATTATTTTATTTTTATTTATTTTTATTTTTATATAAAAGCAGCTAAATTTAAAACTTTCTAAACTTTAAATGGCTAGGTCTAAAAAAAGAACAACTAAAAAAAACCCCAATTAACTATTTTTTTAAAGCTCCCAAAGGGGGGGAAAACTTACCCAATAGAACAGGGGTCTCCAACCTTGACAACTTTAAGACTTGTAGACTTCAACTCCCAGAATTCCTCAGCCAGCTTTGCTTTGTTGGCTGAGGAATTCTGAGAGTTGAAGTCCACAACTCCCTGCCTGCAGTCAAGCAGGCAGGGAGATTCAGTTGCTTGCTAATGCAATGGATTGCAGGGATTACAGCAAGGTGTTGCGACCAGCAGCTAAGGTAAGCAAGCTGAGGGGAGGAGGGGGAGGGATTTTTGCTACCGATTAGCAGGCAACTCAGCTGGGATCGTCAGAGCCATTTAAAAGCAAAAAAAAAAAGGCTCTGATGATCGTGCGGCTCAGCTGGGCATGGGGGCGGGGGCAGGGATTTTTGCTACTGGTTCTCCGAACTGCCCACCGCCATCGCTACCTACTCACCCGAGCCGGTCCGAACCGGGAGCATTTCACCTCTGCTTTACTCATTACATTATTAATTTGTCCATGTTTGATGTTATCCAAATGTAAAATGCCCAGATACTTGTAAGCATCATTCTGATGGCTTCTAATGATTTGCCTATTTGGCATTTCAGTTTCATTACTGTTTGTGATTTTACGCTGCTACAGTACCACATTTCTCTAGGCAAATTCCTGTGCTAAAAAATTCTTACAGTGTTTACCAATATATGGATTTCGATTTCTGATTTTCCATAAAGCTTCAGATCATCCACATAAATGTGAAATTTTAGTAGCATTTTAGACAAGATTTGTTTTAACACTGTAGGTAAGCATGTTATTGGCCTATAGTTTCGTTGTGTTATTCCTTTCATAGATCTTTTTGAATCAGATACGTTTTGCCGGTTATTAATTAGTCACTGATGGGTTTTTTTGTTTTTTGTTTTTTTTGTGTGTGTTATTGTTATCAGTGCTATACAACAGAGAAAAAAGTTTCATATACAGTACACCCCCTCTATGGGAAAAGTTTGGTCTCAGGAGGCAGGTAAATGAACCAACTGTTGCCAAAGATATGCGTTCAAAAAGTTCAAAAAAAAAACCAGTTCAAAAACAGGGCTGTGAAAATATTTACAGACCCCTCACATCCTGGACATAAACTGTTTCAATTGCTACCCTCAAAAGGACACTATAGAGCACTGCACACCAGAACAACTAGACACAAGAACAGTTTTTTCTGAACGCCAGCACTCTGCTAAACAAATAATTCCCTCAACACTGTCAAACTAGTTACTAAGTCTGCATTACTATTAATCTTCTCATCGTTCCTATCACCCATCTCCTCCCACTTACGACTGTATGACTGTAAACTTGTTGCTGGTATCCTTATGATTTATATTGAGTATTTCCCTATGACTATCATTAAGTGTTGTACCTTATGATTCTTGACAAATGTATCTTTTCTTTTATGCACACCAAGAGCGTATGCACCAAGACAAATTCCTTATGTGTCCAATCACACTTGGCCAATAAAGAATTCTATTCTATTCTATTCTATTCTATTCTATTCTATTCTATTCTATTCTATTCTATTCTATTCTATTCCATTCCATTCCATTCCATTCCATTCCATTCCATTCCATTCTATTCTATTTCCATGTGATCTAGCATGACAAACTTTGAAGAAGACATTGCCTTATGAGTTATATACAGATATAAGTTATTCAGAATTTAAAAGCAGTAATTTATATTATACTTATCTGTATCCTTTCTAAAGATTTCAGAGTGAGTATAACATGATTTTTGCATGGTAAAGCAATTGGTTTATCAGTTATCCCTCTATTAGCAAAATAAGCAACCCTCTATATAATTTTTAATCAGAACAGGAAGCTAAGTTTCTTATATATATATATGTGTGTGTGTGTGTGTGTGTGTGTGTGTGTGTGTGTGTGTGTGTGTGTAGTTAATATTTCGGGTTTCTTCCCGTGTAATTGTGGATATATCCCTTTTAGGGATATATATCCACAATTACACGGGAAGAAACCCGAAATATTAACTATACACACATACATACCCGTGAAAACTTACATAAACATATATATATATATATATATATATATATATATATATATATATATGTATGTATGTATGTATGTATGTATGTATGTATGTGTATGTGTATGTGTATGTGTATGTGTATGTGTATGTGTATGTGTATATATATATATATATATATCAACTGTCTCAGTTGCCAAAGCAAACAATCCATTACAGACTGAACAGAATAGAAAATTAATGGCAATTATCAAGGGAAATATAGTTCTAATGATTTGAAATGTTGGCAGATCTTATACCATTCAAGAAGATTCATATCAGTCCTTGTGAAATTGCTTCATATTGGCAAGGGAACTGTGAATTTTCTTTTCACTTTCCTATTGAGCTGAAGATGAGCTACTGACTAGCAGCTTTCTTTTCCCAGAACACAGAATAATATTTACAGCTCTGTTGTCAACAAAAATATATATTTCATTCCATCTGACTTATCATCTGTTTAGGTTTGTCTGCATAAATTTCATCTTGAAAATGTATTCAGGTAAATACTTGGCATAACTACAGTTAAACATATCGCAGAACTCACTTAGGAACAATATGTTCCTGCTTTTGCACAACCTGACTGGATTCTTCCAGGGAATATTTGCACTGAATTCTTTATTTTCTTCCCAGCATTTTCCTGCAAGTGCAGGATCTGCTATTTTTTCTGGATCAGCTGAGAATGAATCCATTGATTGTGATTCTCTCTGAAATGTTGTTTGCCCTAATAGTAAAATCGCTAAATGATTGTACATAGTTCATAAACAATGCATATGGATTACCAACAAGTTATATTCCACAGGATACTGCTATGAATGGTAAGAAACCATCATGAGTAGCAAATCTGTGAGGAGACAAAAAAAAAACAAACCCAAACCAAACCAAACCAAACAAGAACAAAACCCATTCAGATAGACACTTTGTTTACATCAGAGGCACATAGCTTCAAGCCAGATTCCAACTTTCTGGAAGTCTGCAGCAGGTCAACCTAGGATGAAATATTATAGGAGGGACATTTTTGGATTACTTTAACCCCAACTCTACCACAACTGGGAAGAGGGACAACATTCTGCTGATCAATTTTGAGCATGTTGAATTCTCTGGTGCATATATTACATGATTTTATCAATTTTCCCTTTGCTTCTAATTTATATACACATATATAGAATGTGTCAGGATCAATATTCATACATGGACATCTTCAAAGAGAGGACAGTTCTCTTCTATAATCAATGTTGGTGCATCTATCATTTCTATAATTCCCTTTTTGAAATTTGGTAATCAGAGCTATAGGCAATAATCTACACAAGGTAGCTTCACTGACTGTATAAAGACATTATATAGTGTCAATTTTATTGTTCTTTCCTAGTGAATTTTTTTTCATTGATGTATATTATTCAATGAACTCTAGCCATTTATTTATAAAACTTTTTTTTTTACAGAAATAAGCCTCTTACTGTTTATATTGATCACTGAACTTACATAAAAGAGGTTATATTGTGTGTTTACTCAAAGACTTAATTTTCTACCTAGTTGCATATTATCACCATTAGCCACTCTTCCATCTTGTTTTAGACGGCTAAAACATATTTACTGAAACATTGTACAGTTTCTGTAGTGGTCTTCCTGCCCCCCCTTCCAGTTTCCACATTCTATCCAATTATCTTAAGAACCCAGAAACCTTAATAAATCTTCCTAAATAGAAAAAAAATATCTAAATACTATTACTGTTCTACTTATATTTTGTGCTACATACATACCCATGAACACAAACAAAAAAGATAATAGAAGAAAAGTAGATTAAACATTGCAGTTTTTTTACATTATTGCCCTGACCTTGGGCCAGGAAGGAATTGAAAAGAAACAATTCCAAGTTAAGTGAACTGTAATAGAAAATTAAGACATGCACATTCTAGGTTTTTTCCCTATTTTATGCATTTTAAAGTTTTGTCAGTGATGAATATTTTTGAGATAATGCATGCCTTGTATTTAAACCTGACATATTATTCATTCATTTTGATTCTTTTCATTCTATTCATTCATTTGTTCGTTCATTCATTCATTCATTCATTCATTTTCATTATTTTCATTCATCTTCATTATTTTCATTTGTTCATTCAACCATTTTCATTATTTTCATTCATTCATTCATTCATTCATTCATTCATTCATTCATTCGCTGACTTCTTTGCCACCATGCTTAGGCCAGATCCAAAGAAAAAGATTCATATATCTCACTTAAACTTTGCATTTGGTTGATGGTACTTCCAAATGATTGCAAATTTGTATTAGACTAGACAGCCCATGAACACCAGTTGGTCATTTCAGAGATATTTCCTTAGCAGATTCCTCAATGCCTTCAACAATGTCAGAGCTTCTAATATACTGCCTTCCCTGGAAAAGTTGGAATAAATTCAGAGATATATCTGCCTTGAAAATAGTCCATGTTGGACTGTGTAGTACATTCAAACATTAGCAGAATAAATCTTTTGTGACATTTTGTATTATGTCATAAACTATTTTATGCCAATTTTAATTCCACAGGAGTCATGAGTTCTGAATTTTGGATACATTCTCCAAGTTAGCCCATTTGAGGTACTTTGCCCTATGATATACTATTTCACCTAGTGAAAGGTTACAGGAACAAGAGTTTTAGTAGCATATTGATAGACTATATACTTGTTTGATATATAGGCTGAATAATAAATGCAGTTTTATAGAGATACATTTTGTAATGATGCGTTCAAAAAGCAATCTTTACATCTGTGTAGATGGTAAATCAAAATTGGCTATTTATTTCAAACAAGTAATCTGTTAAACTAAAGCATAATTTAGCACCAATAAATGTATTATGAAATACCCAGCATTTGATGAACTACAGTATGGAAGGAACTATATGTAATGATTATATTAACCTATGATATTTGAATTGTTCGTGTAATTTTCTCTCCATTTTCCTTCCCATTGTACTTCATATTTGCTTTTTTGCTGCATCATAATTGAAGGGCAAAGTGGACGATGGAAATCTAAATTCTGTCCCTCAGAGTTAATAAATGTTATAAATATTTTATATATTATACACTATTTTAATAATATTTTACTACTATCTCATGAAGATCATAAGCAATAGCCAATTAACATTTTAAAGATGTGTATAATATTTTAATAAAGTATAGATTTATTTTCTGGTGAAAAGTTATTAAAGAAATGACTTTGAGAAAAGGTAGAATGTGTATTTTAATTTTGTGACTCCAGGTCCTCAGCTCGACTTCCTCAAGGATCATTAAAATTATCATTATAGTATTTTAAATCTTTCTCTTTCTCTCTGTCTTAAGTTTTATTCTACCAGACCAGATGGGGCTAAGCAAACAAGATTACCCCCCCATTTGAAATTTGATTTTGAAACCCATTTTCCGGTATAAAATGTCATGTTTAAAGTATTCACTGTCCCTAAAATCATACATGTTGAAAAAAATAATGAGCAAACCACTCAATTGTTAAATACGAATAGAATTACACTAGATGAGATTGGCAATTACTACACCATTAAGAAGACATCTGTTGCTTCTTTTCCCATAGGTTCTGAACATAGTCCAAACTGCAACAAACTATCTAGGAAAAAAGTCACTCCAGCCAAAGCAGTATGAATACTTATGAGAGCTAATAATGCCCTCTTCAAAGTTTTTACTGAAAAAAGAAAGAAGCAGCAAAAAAGCAAAGTACTACTTCTAAATCAAATATCGAGTCTCCTATATACTCTAGAGTCAACATTAGACTTGTTTCTGCTTTCTTGGGGAAAAAAAGAAGGTTTTAGAAGAATGTCATCTACATTTTACTACTTAAGTAAAGTTTCAATTCAAAAATCAGTATTCCAATATGAAATTTAGAAAAATTAGAATTCAATGTGCTCAATTAATGAGATAGGACTGCACACATATGTATTTATAATTCACTTTTATTCACACATGTTCACTTATTTAAAGTCACTGTTAGAATTGAATATAAATATTCAACCTCTTCCACACATTATATTTCAACATCTTTTTATTTACTGTCCCCCCCCCATAAAAGTAACAACAAAGCCCTGCCCTTTTTCATTCTTTAATTTGGGATGAGAAGGCAAGAAGTGAAGAGACTAAACACTTACACTGCCCCATTGTTCCATCACCAAAACAGATGTACAAATATTTCTGGAGAGCAAAAATAGACCTCTATTAATCCTCCACTCATTTTTGATAAGTCAAGAATGTCCACAGTTTATTTTAGTTATTTGAGAACTGAGGATGAATCCTTTCTACTTCAGATGACTGGAGAAAACAATGAAAAGATACAATGCTGGCCTGATTAAAAGCAAAAATGGGGACAAAATAGGAAGCTCAATGAAAGAGGAAAGGTAATTAAAAATGGTCGATTTCAAATCAGCAACCTTCTAATTTCAAGGTAAGAATTATAACCAGGGGTGAAATCCAGCAGGTTCTGACAGGTTCTGGAGAACCGGTAGCGGAAATTTTGAGCAGTTCAAAGAACTGGTAGCAGAAATTTTGAGTAGTTTGGAGAACCGGCAAATACTACCTCTCACTGGCCCCAGAGTGGGATGGGAATGAAAATTTTGCAACATCCTTCCCCCAGGAGGGGGAGGGAATGGGAATTTGGATATCCTTCCCCTGGAGTGGAGTGGGAATATTTTGCAGTATCCTTCCCCTGCCATGCCCACCAAGCCACACCCACATAACCTGTAGTAAAAAAAATAAAAATGGATTTCACCACTGATTACAACCATTGTGCTTTTACAGCATTTATGGTAAAGGTAACCCTAAAACACATTAGAAAACTGCAGTGAAGAAAGGCAATATTTATTTTAATAATCTGCTTTGTGTGCCTGCATGTGGATGCATTCTGATGCTTTAATTATTAGCAACACATTTCATGAAGGAAAAAGAAAAAAAAACTGAGAAACAATTTCTAAGTCTCTCCTGCTCCCTCATGCATGCATAGACACAATCACTGCTTTGTCATTATGTTGCCCAATTCCCCTCCATACACACCTTAAAACATAGGAATTGAATACGTATATGCTTGCAGAAACAATGAAGAGCAGCTTCTGAAACAGACGTATGAATCTGGAAAACAACAGGGCTACTTTAATGTTCTGAAAACAGATTCCAAGAATCTCTTTGAAAAGGAGAGTCCTAACCAGTGGTGGGTTGCTACCAGTTCGCCCCGGTTCAGGCGAACTGGTAGTAGCAGCAGTGGGAAGCTCCACCCACCCGCCCGGACGTCATCAAATACCCTCTATGCATGCATGTGCAGAAGTGGTGTGCGCACAAGGGAAGTGAGCACATGTGCATGAGCAAACCAGTAGCAAAGGTAAGTAAAACCCATCACTGGTCCTAACTATAAATATTCAAAGTATTCTGGCCTGCCATTTTCTTATAGATTTGAGACTTAGATTCTGAAATTTAGCAGTACCAGTTCTTTAGTAGTAGTCTAATTATCATGGACCTAGAAAACTAAAGGATCTCGAGAGAGAGATATCAATATCTGAACACATATAATTTACCAAATATTGAGAAAGTTTCAGGATAAATATATAAGCTAATTTTGCATTCATTTTAGCTTTGCTTTACACATCTGGGCTTTCCTTGCTTTATTAAACATTTTCAGATGTCATTTAATGAATCATATTGTTAATCTCTTTGACTCTTTAAAAAAGAACAAGAGAAGGAAAAAAAATATACATATTCAATTTCCTCTGGGAGTGTGGATAACCTAAAATTATATTAAGGGAAGAGGCACATTTTGCTTGCTTTATCTTCTATTATTACTGATACAGGATAGAAACAAATACTGAACTTTTAATTTTAATGAGGGACTGAAAGAAATTCCAGTGTATGATCTGAAAACAAATGCAATGGCAGATATTTAAAACACTTTCCAATTACCTCATTACTTTGGCTTATATGCCTTGACAGTTTTTATATAATGATGCCTACCAAAAATGACATCTTATGATCAACTTCAGAACCATCAGATTGAGTGCAGGGAGCATCACATGGTATCCCAGATGTTCTGTGACATATTGATAAACTGAAGAGCTTACACATGCTGACAGAATAGTCCAGCTTTTCATACATTATTGTTGCTCTCACTCTTTTTATATTTCTTTCAAACAGTAAATGACTTTGCTCCTGAAATGATTCAGGCGGGAAAAAAAAAATAACATACTGGGAATCTGACTATGCCAAAAATGATTCTGCTCCATTTTTAAATTAACTTTTCATTTTACAAGTACATGCTCTAACTCAGTAGCATCATAAAAAAAAACAAAAAAAAAACCTTCACAATGCAAAATGTCAAGTTGAAGTAGTTCTATATTTATCTTCCTTTTTGGGGGGAAAACGATAAAACTATAGCAGTACTTCATACTATATTATGGAAAGCATACAGAAAGGCTAAATGTCTAAAAACAATCATAAAACTGGCTACGTAGTGCTTAAATTCTCTAATCACAATCACATTTATTTTGGGGAAAAATGTTCACATTTCTAAAAACTCAGCCTTCTATGGTCCTTTTGGTAATGAAGCCTGATATAGTTAATACAGTTAAGCATATACTTAACTGTAACTTCTTCGTTTATCCTAATTATTATAAACATGCATTAAGAAGGAAGACCACAAAGTCTCTAGCTGTTTAGATCTATTAAAGTTAAAACACTATTCATAATCTTCTTCAGGCTCTGGAAACTATGTGCTATATTGCTAAAAGGCCAAACCCAGTCAAGTGTTACTACAGGTAGTCCTCCACTTATGACCATGATTGAGCCTGGAATTATCATTGTAAATTGTACTGGTTTTTAAATGGGTCATCACATGACTGCACCTGTGTTGTTGTTGTTGTTTTGGTGGTCATTAAGCAAATCTGTTGGCTGCAATAGCCATATCCTCCTCTCCCCCCCCCCAACCGCAGAAGCTGGAAGTAAACATGTCAATGGCTATAAATTCAGGCCAGTTGCCAAGTCCCCAAAATGTTATCATGTAACCATGGGAGTCTGGCCATCATAACTTCAAATCCTGGTTGTAAATAGCCTCCTGAATGAACTTTGAATGGTTGCTAAGCAACCAGTTGTAAATTAAGGATTACCTGCATTATCACTCAGGAACAGGGCTTTTCTATCATCTGAGTGTTCCCTCCCATCTTCTGACTTCTTCCAAAACCCATATTCTCACTTTAGGTGCAGAATAATTTCCTTAGTTCTTAACCATTTTACTGGCTGAGATGATGGAGAAGGATAAGGAAAATGTCAAGAATCCCCTTGTTCTCCTTTCTCAAAATGTAGCAGAGAACAGAACCAGACATAGGCCTTGCAGGTTGGTCTGAACAGCCACCCTTGCCTGAGGAGAACAACACTTAACAAAGAGAGAAAGGACTAGCATAAGAGACGGGTGCTTCTTAGACCTTCTGCGTGCCACTATTTACACCTGGTTTCCACTCCATAATCCTGCATCAATAAATCTGATGCGGGTCTCTAATCATTTTGATTTCTACTGACCTTGAAATATCAGAAGATGCAGTTGTCCTTCAAGCTGAGCAGAGTTTTTTAAAAAATGAATTCAGTCTCCTACCCATTGAGCAGTTTCTTTGTTTGCTTATTATCTACTATGTCTCTGTCTCTCTGTCTCTCTCTCCAGCTATCTACCTATCTACCTATCTGAGTAGGTACTCATCTCTACTCTCTACAGAATAACAAGAAAGTTAAACTTACAAAGCACAAGTGTGTGCATGCATAGACTCACACACTCTCACACACAAAGATAATCACCACATCATTGTATGTCATTGTCTACTTTTGTGTGTATGTTTATAATGCATTCAAATGAAGGTATCTTTTTTTCCCCTCCTTTATTAAAATGTTTCTGCAAGTTGCAATGCTGGAAGCATGTAGCATAGCAACCCTTTTTGCAAGTGATTATGACTCTACCCATGGCTGAGCTTCTCTATGTACATGTGGGATGGAGACAAATAGTTTATTTGAGCCCAAAGACTGAGAAGTCCTGTGAGGCCAACATTCATTGCCTTATACAAAGAAGGAAAAGAAAGCCAAGCAGCTTACAGAAATTTGGAGACTACCGTGAAGGGTGAAGATCAGGTTCATTGCTACTTCAAAAATTATCTTGATACTTTGCAGTTTTTTTCAACTTCCACAACTTTAGCTGTGCAGAGCTCAACTCCCAGAATTCCTCCAGCCTGCTGGCTGGTGGCTGGTGGAATTCTGGGAGCTGAAATCTGCACATCTTAAAGTTGTGGAGATAGAGAAATACTGGCTTAGAGATAAGGGTTGACAATAACAAAATAACATAGTACAGACAGAAAGGTAACACTACAGTATGTACCTAAGATCAAGAATGCAATTGAACAAATAGAGCAGGGCTGTCAAACTCATGGCCCAGATGTGTCATACGCTGGCCACACCCACACCCAGTTTAGCAAAGAGAAAAAATGTCCCACTACGTCACATGATGCCGCCATTACGATGCAAGTTTGACATCCCTGAAGTAGAGAATAGGGATACTTAACTAAACTAGTACTTGAACTTCATTGATTAGTCCTTGGGCCATATCAAAGTGCAGAGTTCCAGACACAAATTATTACTAAAAACAATTTAAAATGGAATTGGATAAAATATGATTTAAAATGAAATTGGAATAAACTACAGTTTAAAATGAAATTGGAATAAACTACAATAATTTTATAGATAAATAAAATATTTTAAAATTATATCTTGGTGTCACCCTTACAATCTATCCCAATCAGTCCCACATATGCCAATCTCAACCGAACCATTTTGCTTAAGTATTGTGCTGTGTT